AGTACGGAAATATTATAAGAGATTTTACTTTCAATAGATTGGATGTGAAACTTCCATGACAAATTTTTATCAAGAGTTACGCCTAAAAAATTAACAGTAGATTCCCTTTTTACATCTGTTTTATTGAATAAATCAACTTTATTTGGTTTGTGGAACAAGATGAATTTAGTTTTATCTACATTTAGTGAAAGGCGGTTACTTATAAACCATTCATTTACTTTAGATAATTCTTCATTAAAAATTTTAAAGAGAATTTTTATATCTCTGTGTCAATAAAACAGATTGGAATCGTCAGCAAACAATATAAGGTATAATTTTTTAGATGCTAAAAATAAGTCGTTTATATATACTAGAAACAATAATGGTCCTAAGATAGATCCTTGAGGAACCCCGCAATTTATAAGCTTTTTTTTGGTTTCATTTGTTTCATAGGTTATGCATTGTTTTCTGTTAGTCAAGTAGTTTTTAAACCAAAGTAAGTTTAAGTTGTTTACTCCATAAAGTTTTAATTTTTTTATAAGGATTTCATGATTGACAGTGTCAAATGCTTTGGATAAATCAATAAAAACTCCTAAGGTAAAATAATCTTTATCAAAAGCATCCGATATATGGTTTACAAGCTCAATTACCGCGTGATCCGTAAAATGATTTTTTTTAAACCCAAATTGTTTGTTGTACAGAATGTTATTTGATACTAGATGATTATAAAGCCTATTGTACATAAAGCGTTTTAGCAATTTAGAGAAACAAGGTAATACAGAAATAGACCTATAGTTTGAAACATTTGTTTTTTCACCTGACTTAAAAATCGGTGTGATTTTGGCTATTTTAAGTTTGTCTGGTACAATACCAGACGTTAATGAGAGATTAAAAATGTGAAACAATAAGGGTTTAATAATATCAAAGACTGATTTAACTACATTGACGCTAATTTTATCTATGCCTGCACTTTTGTTATTTTTCAGAGAGCAAAAGGCATTATGCAACTCACTTATATTTAAATTTAGTTCTGTCATAACATTATTTGCTGTTTTGAGGTATGTTTCAAATTTTATGGTACTAGATGGAATTTTAGCCGCCAGATTCGGACCAATCTCAAGAAAAAAACTGTTTAGCTTTTCAGCTATGGTTTCTTTATCATAAACAACTTTTTCATCAATTAACAGTTTTTGTGGCCAATTGTTTTTAATCAAAATATTTTTTTAATCAAGATATTAACATTTTTCTATCAATTATAATGTTATTTCTACACTGCAAAAAGCAATAAAGCACAATTTTACACTGCATAACTTAGCGCTGTGAGGTTATATTTTCTTTTTATTTATTAAGGTCATACACGATTATTATAATATTCCAGGCAAATAATTGAATACGGAAATTAAAACACTAAAAATAAATAAACATTCCAATAGTTCTAATCCAAAATTTTAAGAATATATACAATAACTTAGAATAAAACTATTTTAATTTTCACTTTCTGTGCAAATTTCCACCATATCTCAAATAATTCGCGTATTCTTTGTTTGACACTAAAAGAGGAAAATATACGAAAAAACATAGAGTTACAAACAAATACAATTAAAAGCATTTTTAAAAACTAAATAAAAAAAACAATTGGAATGAAAAAAAAGAAACACCACAGAAACCAGAAATTGTACTAGCTTTCTATTTGTTTTTTTTTTTTGTTAATGAAAGATTGTTGACTGCAAATTGTTTAGCTACATAATCTGAAATAGAAAAAACAATCCCTCTTTAAACTGCAAAAGTAATGAAACTTCCCTCAAAAAATTTTTAAATGAATAAAGAAACAAAATTAATTTAAAACACAATCATGACAAAATGGAAAAAAAACATTTCTATTTTTACCCTCAAAAGATATATCTTTGTGTCTAGACCCTTTAAAGATACATCATTGAGTTAAGATTTCTAGAAAGTTGTTTTTTTACAAAGATTATTTTAACTAAAGTAATATTTTTTCTTATAACAGGAATTGCATGGTAATTAAAGAAACTTAAATGGTACATTCACAAAATGAAAAATCAAAAATCGTTTTTAAAAATCGCTCTCTTTAACACTTGCGATTACTTTGTTAGGTATTTTTTCTTCAAATCAAAACTACTTATATTTCACTTACACGCTTGACCGTTTGAGCAAGTAGCATCTTCTTACCAAAAACCAATAATTTTTTTAATGAAAAGACAGAAACATCAAAAAGCGGTCATTTAAGAAATTGTAACAAATGATTAAGCTTATGTAAATTGTATGTTATGAATGTTGAACCATAACAATTCACAGCATTAATAAGTCATCTAAATCAATTTAATAGCATCAATGCATAACCAATGCATTGATTCTGTTAATTTAGTTAGTATCTTTAGAACATAGAGACCAGTATGCAAAAGAAATTAATTGTAAAGCCGTTTATTTTTTAAACTCCACCAGTAATCAAGACTTTCTGACAAAATGACTTTTTACCGGATAATTCTTTTGACTTTTCAGAAATGAATCGGTGAATGATAAAAGGGCAGAAGTCATATATTTTGCATAGTTGACTTTTTAGCAAATTTGTATATTCAAAAGATAGCTCCGTCATTTTAAGTTCCAAACGTGTCTGTCAAATATTTTCTCTAGCCTGTGCAGTGTCTAAAAGTTTTGGTTTTTTGTTGAAAGGGCTGAAGTCCCGACTTCAGCCTTTTTAACAAAAAACAAGAAACTTTGCGCTAAAGTCGTGGACCAAACGCAACCTTACTTTGTTGTTTTGATTGCGCAACAGCGTTATGAATAAGGTTGATTTATTACGTTTGATTATTTTAATAGTAATTTAAGTTGATTAACTGCTTTTTTGAATGGGTGATAGTGGTAGTGAGTTTGATCATACAAATTATAAAAAAAAGATAAAAAGTACTGATGATTATGAAAGGAACAAGATTAAGAAATCTAGGCTTTCTTATGTGGCATAAGAAAACCACAGGGGACAACTAGTTGATGCAAAGTCTATTAAAGATCCATGCAGGTAAGAGATAATACGCAATAGTTCTTA